TTTCCCCCGAGAAAAAAAAAAAAAAAAAAAAAAAAAAAAAGATTTAACTCGTAATTGTGATTTCACATCTAAAATTTATTTTGGGACAGAATAAAAAAATAAAAGGTAATTGCGACTTTTCTCAAAAGAAGTTTTCAGCAAATAAATTTTTTTATTCAGTGGCAGAAAAAAAATCGTCCACAGATTATATATTCATATGGCTATAAAAAAAAGAAAAAAAAAAGTATATATATATATATATATATATATATATATATATATTTTTTTTATTAGTGGAAGAAGTAGTAGAATTACCAGTGATCCTTATGTCATGAGCAACTGCTGTGACATATTGACTAAACTAAAAGGAACTTTCAAAGAACTACCAAAAAAAAAAAAAAAAAAAAAAAATTATAATTATTTATATTTTTTTTTTTTTTTTTTTTTTTTTTATTAGTAGTAGTAGTAGTAGAATTACCAGGGTTTGTACACATTTTTACCAATAAAGTTTCATGACTTGATTTCCTCATTTTCAAACATTAAACCATTAAGCTTTTATTTTGATGGTAACCCGCATGGAGCTTCTCATTACAAGTATGGAAAGATTGCTGGCACATTTTGTGTTCTCAAATGCATATAAAAGTGACCTAAACTCAGAAAAGATTCAGAGATGGTTTGTGTGGAGCAGCATTTACTGCGAACTGAACCGTACTGAAAATACCAGTGGATAATGAGAAATTTCATGTGTAAGAACACTCTGAACCACACAATTTTGGTTTTATTTTGATTAATCGTGCATTCCTACTAAAAACTATAATGGCTTTCAAAAAGATTCAGTCCATGCTGTATCTTCATATTAGCCAGAGGACGTTCAAGTGACACTTTGCAACACAGAAACTCACCAATCCATCTGATGCACTCGCGCCCACTTTGTCTCCAGTGGAGTTCCAGCATACTTCAAAAATCCCCCCCGTCCCTCTGTAGCTGTTGACTAAAGCACCACTCTGTAGGGCAGAAATTGAGACTCAAGTTAAGAACACCAGTCATGCAATGCAGCACAGTGACAGATCAATATATCAGCCAGGCCGGTTAATGGGCAGCAGCTGAAAACGGTCTCTTTAATCGACGATTAATGTAAGTCTGATACTCCTAAGTATATTTATCAGCACACTTGATTGACTGGTTTTATGGCTAAATATCTAAATTAGGGCAAAAACGGCTAATTTGGAACATTTAAAAAAAATATTACATTTTATTTTAAGGTTTTCTTTACAAAACAAAAATGACAATTGCAGTTTTCTAACACTCATATACAGTTAATCTTTAAAAACACTAATTTATCAGTACTGTTAAATGTACTCTTAGGCAAATCTCTAAATGAATGGCCATTTTTCATTTTGTACATTATCAGGTTTCATGAAAGGATCAGCTTATACACAACTGTTCAAAGTCAGAAAGATTTTTTTTTTATATGTATATAAATTGATACTTTTATTGAGCAAGGATGCATTAAATTGATCAAAAGTGACAGTAAATACATTTATAATATTATAAAAGATTTCTATTTCAAATAAATGCGTCATGGTTTTTCACAAAAATATTAAGCAGCACAACTGTTTTCCACTGATAATAATCAGAAATGTTTCGTGAGCAACAAAATCAGCATATTAGAATGAAATTTCTGAAAGACCATGGAGTAATGATGCTGAATATTCAGCTTCGCCATTACATTAAAATACATCAAATTAGTATAAGTATAAGAGGCGTCTTTTAAAAATCATTCTCTTCACAAAACAGTTGGCCAAAACAACTGCGTCTAATAAAATGAAGATGTTATTATTCTCATGTGAATATGTAACGAGTATTAGTTTGTTAAATAGCCTACAGTACCTGCGTATTCCAGATATGGACACACTTGTCAAAGGAACCGCTGGCCAGGTGCCGCCCATCTGGACTGAATGCCACGCTGTAGACGGGCTCCTGGTGTTTGGTCAGTGTGTGGATGCAGGCACCATGCTCTGCGTCCCACAGACGCACCGTTGAATCGAACGACGCACTTTAGGCAGAAAAGAAGAAAAAACATCTGCTCAAAGTGTATAGATACATACACAAATTTTTAAATTGAGCCGATCAAAGAACAGCCTTTCCAAGTGAAGAGTGATGGTGGCTGTTTGTGTACCTGGCCAGCATGAGGTTGGCATTGGGGTTGTTGGTTCCAGGGCCAGTTGGGCTCCATTTGATGGTGTAGATCTCCTTACTGTGGGCTTGCAGGTCATGAACACAAGTGTCCTGTTTCATGCTCCAAAGCTAACGTTCAATACAAATCACAATATCATTATAACACTCACTCACTCACTCAAAGTGGCCCTATTATGCCATTTCAAATATTGCCTTTCATGCAGTGTGTAATGTAGCTGTATGTGAATGTAAACGATCTGGAAAGTTGTAAAGCTGAAAGTGCACAATAAATAAAGTTATTGTCTCCCAAAATAAAGAATAGACTCTGACAGCTGAAACGAGTCGTTAGTAATTCGAATCCCACTTCCGTGACGGCTACATGTCACGGGTAACACATTTGCATAATGCGCGGCCTATGTTCTACGTTGGCCGGCCGCGAACAACTTGACCCCGCCCACAAACACATCATTCTACTGACGACTGCTTCTCTAATCTCGGCGAGTTCAACGCGGGATTCACAAAATGCTTGCTATTGAAAGATGGATCAGTATCCTGTTTATTTGGACCAGCTGCTCCACTGAATCACAACCTGTAAGTATGATAAATAATAGATGATTATATTTTCTATAGAGCGTTCAAAATACAGAACTATTGAAATAGGCGTATCATTTACGAAACACGCTGTACGCCGTAGACCAATCACAACAGGCTAGGCCATCTGACCAATCAGAGCAGAGCAGGCTCAGGATGCATTAAATTGATCAAAAGTGACAGTAAATACATTTATAATATTATAAAAGATTTCTATTTCAAATAAATGCGTCATGGTTTTTCACAAAAATATTAAGCAGCACAACTGTTTTCCACTGATAATAATCAGAAATGTTTCGTGAGCAACAAAATCAGCATATTAGAATGAAATTTCTGAAAGACCATGGAGTAATGATGCTGAATATTCAGCTTCGCCATTACATTAAAATACATCAAATTAGTATAAGTATAAGAGGCGTCTTTTAAAAATCATTCTCTTCACAAAACAGTTGGCCAAAACAACTGCGTCTAATAAAATGAAGATGTTATTATTCTCATGTGAATATGTAACGAGTATTAGTTTGTTAAATAGCCTACAGTACCTGCGTATTCCAGATATGGACACACTTGTCAAAGGAACCGCTGGCCAGGTGCCGCCCATCTGGACTGAATGCCACGCTGTAGACGGGCTCCTGGTGTTTGGTCAGTGTGTGGATGCAGGCACCATGCTCTGCGTCCCACAGACGCACCGTTGAATCGAACGACGCACTTTAGGCAGAAAAGAAGAAAAAACATCTGCTCAAAGTGTATAGATACATACACAAATTTTTAAATTGAGCCGATCAAAGAACAGCCTTTCCAAGTGAAGAGTGATGGTGGCTGTTTGTGTACCTGGCCAGCATGAGGTTGGCATTGGGGTTGTTGGTTCCAGGGCCAGTTGGGCTCCATTTGATGGTGTAGATCTCCTTACTGTGGGCTTGCAGGTCATGAACACAAGTGTCCTGTTTCATGCTCCAAAGCTAACGTTCAATGGAAAACACAACATTAATTGAACACACTCCCAGTTAACAATGCAGACACATTAGTAAAGATCTAAATCATCAAACAAGAGATGGCTAGTTGTTTGTATCCTACCTTTAGCGTCATGTCATCAGAGCAGGAGGCCAAGAGATTCCCCGTTGGATCCCATTTGATTGCATTGACTTCATTCTGAAAATAAAGGAGTGCAAATCATCAGTGATGTAATCAGTTAGCATGCTTAACAATATAATGCTGTATCTATCATATTTGATGCATATTTGCTTAGCCATTGATTTACCCAAGGAATTCTAATATAACTTCCAAAATGTCTGCCTCTATCGCAACTGCAAAATCTTGGCTGATTTTGTAATGGCAAAAACTAATTTTATATTATTGCAATTATCGCTTAATAAAATAGTTATAGTTTTAATAGCAGAGCATGGCGCAAGCAACGCTGAGATCATAGGCTCGATTCCCACATAATGCATTAACTTAAAATGTGTCTCTTGAATGCAGTGCAAGTCGCTTTGGATAAAAGCAACTGCCAAATGGAGAAATGTAAATGCATTTTGCAATGATATTTGAAAAAACTTTGTATTTTTAATTGTATTTATTTTTTACTTAATATTTCATACATAAGACAATCTAAAAACAAAATTGAAAATGTCTATTAAAAATGCTATAGCAGGTGTTATTAAACTTGTTTTTGCCACCATAATTTAAAAGACATAAAAAAAATATTAATTAATAAAAAAATGAAAAAGAAATGCTTCAAATGTGATGTATAAAGAACATGCTTTTTTTCAATTGTTCAATAGACAGTTTGATTTAATAAATAAATATATACACACTGACTTCAAATGTCAGGCTTTACAGGGTAAAAATATCACTTTTAGGGTTTCTGGGATACCAAATAGTCAAAGTAATACAAGTAAATATCAATAAAGATTTAACTAAAGAATATTTTAATTGAGTTATTAAGTATATCCACACTATTAGAATATCTAATGTAAGTGGCTTACTGTGTGGCCCTGGAATGTTTTGGCAGGTCTGTCCTGGCCCAGTTTACACACGTGAATGCACATGTCTGTGCTGCAGGAGGCAAACGTGGTGTTGCTCTGCCAGTCCACGTCCAGAGCCGGAGCTGCAGGCGGCAAATGCAAACCACATCATTCTTGACCATTCTTTTGAAACTAGCTAATGTACAATCGGCACATTTGGATGACAAGAAAACAGTTTTCGAACTTAAAACCAAAGATAGATTTATATCCATAATAAAGAAGCCTTCTCAGTGGGGGTTTAAAAAGAATCCCACCGCTAATCACTATACCGAAATAATCTCTGTGAAGATTCTACAGTTCACAAATTACAATCAATACGGCTGAGAAAACCTGTCATGTATATGTTTATTAATGTGCATTAATTAGTGTATTTAACAAAGTGTTTCCCCCCATTTCTCAACTGAATTAGCAAGAATGTCAAGGTTAGTTTTGGGAAAATGAATGTCCTGCTTGTGGTGATTTTTGTTACTCACCTGAATGGAATGGAAATTGTTGCTTGGCCTCTCCCGTGTGTGCGTCCCAAATAATGGTGGTCTGAAAGGTGCACATTTCCATTAGCATCTCAACTTCGCCACATCATCTTATCTTAACAGAATATGATAATCACACAAGATTATACTGTACCTTATCAACACCAGCGCTGAGGATAAAATTTCCTTTCTTGTTCCACTTTAAAGCAAATATGGGACCTTTGTGCTGCCCCAGTGTACTGGCAAGATTACCTGGCGGTTATGGGACACTTATTAGATAAACAGGATTTTGTCATTCAATTGATGTTAATGATTAGTAAGTTAATAAAGCTTACCATCTTTAGTCCATATCCTGGCAAAGCCATCATAGGATCCTGTGGCGAGAAGTGTACCTTCACTCTGTCCAACACAATAGACAGAAATATGAATTTGATTAATTTGTTCGGTGTATGAAGAGCGTGGAAAAGAGAAAGCTCAGACACAAAAGTTGCAAGTAGGGTTACTTCAGTTCATAAGCGCTAGTCCCAGCACTCACATTCCAGTCCAGTGAGGTGACGTCTTTGTTACTGGGTACATCCTGCCCCCCCTCCCGAATGCAGTGCCGCAGCACCAGCTGAGTGGATCTTCCCGCGCTGCTCTCACTCAGGTTCCAGATCCGTGCGGTTGAGTCTCCAGAGCTGATGGAAACAACAAAACAGAGATAAATTCCCACAGAAATGTACAGGACACTAAGCCAAGACATGCAAAGCAATAACTGGATTTCTGTCATGACAACTCTGAGAAAGTTTAGTATGGTAATATGCATGGCAATGTTAATGTGTTCGGTCTTGGTGGAATAGATCTGCTATGCTGCTGCTGTGGCAGCGCAAGTACCGAGACTTGCTAGTGCCAATACATCCACAGACATGCTGCAGTGAGCTTGTAAGAAATACTGCTGCTGCACATATGAAATATGAAATGAACCCATAACAGTTAATTATAATTTGTTACATTTATATAGCGCTTTTCTGGGTACTCAAAGCGCTTAACATGGAAGGGGGGAATCTCCTCAACCACCACCAGTGTGCAGCATCAAAGTTCCTATCACTTTGTATGGGGAAACATTAAATTATCCCAAACTGTTCACTAAGCTTACGATTAAATTTCATATTTGAAATCACCAATGAAATCTGACAACAACTGTGCCATAAATGTAGTTTCTTTTGCTCAAATAGCGTTATAAAAAGCTTATTTTTTCAGGCTAGATCAGCCAGTGCACATGCGCAGTCCGAAGCACACGTCTCAGAACGCTGACTGTTTCTATAGCAACCGGGACACTTCTAACGGCAGCTGCAGTGATGCGCTGACTTTACCGATTAGCTCTTTCATTTAGAAGGCGGGGCTTCCTGCGATTGAGAGGCCATATTAAGCGTTGCATTTTTCCCCATTCAAAACTATACGAGTGACATGTCTTGGGTATTCTATAGTCTTTGGCAGCATCCACCTGGATGATGCGACAGCAGCCATATTGTGCCAGAACGCCCACCACACAGCAGCTTATTGGTGGAGAGGAGACAGTGACAAAGCAATCAGTATATATGGGGATGACTAGGAGGCCAGGATGATGGACACAGGCCAATGGGTGAACTTTGGCCAGGATGCCAGGGTTATACCCCTAGACTTGCTAGTGCCAATACATCCACAGACATGCTGCAGTGAGCTTGTAAGAAATACTGCTGCTGCACATATGAAATATGAAATGAACCCATAACAGTTAATTATAATTTGTTACATTTATATAGCGCTTTTCTGGGTACTCAAAGCGCTTAACATGGAAGGGGGGAATCTCCTCAACCACCACCAGTGTGCAGCATCAAAGTCCCTATCACTTTGTATGGGGAAACATTAAATTATCCCAAACTGTTCACTAAGCTTACGATTAAATTTCATATTTGAAATCACCAATGAAATCTGACAACAACTGTGCCATAAATGTAGTTTCTTTTGCTCAAATAGCGTTATAAAAAGCTTATTTTTTCAGGCTAGATCAGCCAGTGCACATGCGCAGTCCGAAGCACACGTCTCAGAACGCTGACTGTTTCTATAGCAACCGGGACACTTCTAACGGCAGCTGCAGTGATGCGCTGACTTTACCGATTAGCTCTTTCATTTAGAAGGCGGGGCTTCCTGCGATTGAGAGGCCATATTAAGCGTTGCATTTTTCCCCATTCAAAACTATACGAGTGACATGTCTTGGGTATTCTATAGTCTTTGGCAGCATCCACCTGGATGATGCGACAGCAGCCATATTGTGCCAGAACGCCCACCACACAGCAGCTTATTGGTGGAGAGGAGACAGTGACAAAGCAATCAGTATATATGGGGATGACTAGGAGGCCAGGATGATGGACACAGGCCAATGGGTGAACTTTGGCCAGGATGCCAGGGTTATACCCCTATCCTTTTTCGAAGGACATCCTGAGATTTTTAATAACCACAGAGAGTCAGGACCTCGGTTTAATGTCTCATCCGAAGGATGGTGCTTTTTGACAGTATAGCAGGGGTCGCCAACTGGCGGACTCCGGTCCAAATCCGGAAATAAATAAATGCCAAACGCAAATTTCTAACAAAATCTAATTTACATTAAGCACATCAAGGTCAGCTCAGTAGAAACGTTTAGGTCCACGGGTTGCTAGTTAACTGTTGCTACGTTTATACGTGCGGTCGTGCATGCAGTGCAGACAGATGAAGCTTTCAGTGAGTGAAAAACAATGGCATTCACCAAATAAATAAATAAAAATAAAAAAGTTAACGGGTCCTTAAAAAGTCTTCAATTTCAGGAGGTCTTAAATTTGGGGACAATAAGACAAGAATTGCGATATGGATTAATGTGATGATTAAACTTCAAAAGGCTGTGATTTCATTAAATAAATATGAGCGCTGCATGTTTCAAAGTCAGCTGCTGCTTTGCTTTGTTTACAGCTGTTACCAGGGAAACGGGTATTTCCGAAAGCGCCTCCTGCCGGCAGAGAATGAATTTGCATTTTCAATAAGCCCGTCTGCTGTTTTTGTTCAGACCAATGTGAAAATCAACTCATGTTTTTAAGCAGCAAACACGCAGAGTTGTAAATGTGAACTAGTGGATCGACAAGAAGACAATGCATTATAGTAGCATATATTTATATGTTATTTAATTAATAGGCTATAATAATTAATTGATAATAATTTTTTTAATTAATATAATTGATATCTTTGCTTCAATTTTCTTTAAAAAAAAAGTGTAAAGGCTGAAATGTAAAGTTAATAATTAAAAAAAAAACTTTGTTTTTGTGAAAACCTGTATCTGAACTCTAAATCATGATTTTTACAGTCATTTTAATTGTATTTGTGCAGGTCTTAAAAATTCTTAAATATGAGCTTAAATATCCTGCAGATACCCTGGTCCGGTAAAAACAGTCAATTCATGTTTTTAGGTAGGCCTATATAATTGTCCGGACCTCCGCTGGTGAGGAGGGTTCATTACTGGACCTCAAGCAATTTTAGTTGAAGACCCCTGCAGTATAGTGTCCTCATCCCTATACTGGGGCATTAGGACCCACACAGACCACAGGATGAGCACCCCCTGCTGGTCTCACTAACACCTCATCAAGCAGCAACCTAGTTTTCCCAGGAGATCTCCCATCCAGGTACTAACCTGGCTCAACCCTGCTTAGCTTCAGATCTATACAGGTGGAACTGGGGAAGGTGGAGGGTTTCTGAAGTGCGCTGCAACTGCTAAAGCAAGTTCTAGCCAAGTATTTAAATGTTGAGACGCATTCTCATTGGCTGCTAATGCGGAAAAAAACCAATCAGCTCCGCCATGTGAATAATGATGTCATTATATCAGATTGCGTTAGAAACTATCAGCCTGCGCCATCTAGAGTTTCATGACAGAACTTTGTATTAAAATTCACAGTATGAGAAAATAAACTGTGGCTTTGGCTTAATACCAACCCAGAGGCCAGCAGATCACTGACAGGGTTCCATGCACAGATGAAGACCTCAGACTCGTGGCCCCGCAGCACCATGGCTTTACTGGCTGGGATCTCCACCGCCCTGTCCACCTCCATCATGTCTGAGTGGTGGTCTGTCAAAGGAAGAAGCAGAAACACTTTCAGTGCTATGTGATATTATTAGTGGAGGGAAAAAAACAATACATTCTACGAGGCATCGTGATTCTCTTCAATGATTCTGAGCTTTGTTTTTTTTCCACGTCACATGACCATTCATGCAGGTACAAAAATGAGCATGTTGTTATTGTTTACAGGGTTGTCAAGGATATGCACGCCATTGTTTTGAAAAGTCTCCGTTTTGGTCCGTATACACTGAAACGCTGAAAACCCCAGTCTTCAAACTAAAATGGGGTCTGCAGCGTTTTCGAAAGTTTCCATTTTCGAGGGTCGAAAACGCTGGCCTAGTGTAAACGACAGGCGTAACCGTAGCAAAAGTTTTGCATTTTAAAATGAAAGTGCACTAGTGTAAACATAGCCTCAGACACTGAAAACACTTTTTGTTTATTGGTAGTAATTCTTTGTTCCCCTTTATTTATACTTTCTTTGATGTTTTGAATCTATATTCATTTTAGTTATTAAGTTCAAGTTCAAGTTCAGTTTATTTATAAAGCACTTTTAAAAATCTCCACAGGCTGACCAAAGTGCTGTACAAGTTAGAATAAAAAAATAAATAAAAATAATATATATAAGTACACTAAATAGCAGCAAAACAGTTAAAACAGAACACTCTTATAAACTAAAAGCAACAGAGAATTAATACGTTTTGAGACATTAACATACAATTGTTTTGATTTAATATTAATTTGTAATTATTTTAAAAAGTACTTCCAATTATAAAAGTAATTTAATAAAAATGCACAAATAAATTTAATATTATAATGAATAGTGAGGTGCTTAAAGATTCCTACCCCAGTCATTCATGCTAAAGACAATCAATGTGTTTTATTTCTATATGTAAATGAGCAGCCATGATGTTCTTTAAAAATGCACCTTTTGTGTTTTAACCTAAAAATTAGAACTAAACTAAAACAAGCTTAAGTTGAAGTACTAAAAATGAAATAAATATAAATGAATAATTTAATAATAATAATTAATGCATTTATTCAGGCTATACATTTTGTTTTTTACCAGTATGTGTTCCCTGGGAATTGAACCCACGACCTTTTGCGCTGCTAAAGCAATGCTCTACCACTGAGCCACAGGAACACTAAATTAAAGCTAAAAAAACAACAACAGCAATAACTAAAACTAAAATTAAAATAAAAAGTCAAAAAAGTTTTTTTTTATAAAAAAGCTAATCCAAAATATTGATAAATACTAAACAGTATAACTACAAAAAACAAAACAACAACACTGGTTATGGTCAGAATAGTCTATTCAGGACAAACTGATGGTATTTCAGCAAGATGCTATTTAAACAGGTCACATGCTGCGTTTATCCAATACATGTTATCGATGCCACAAATATGCAAAGAACATTAATCTGGGGTTTACAATGCACAGTGTGAAAACTTGCAACTTGAAAATCCAGGATTAATTCCTAACCCAGGGTTAAAGACTGAACAGTGTGAAACAGAGAAAGCAATAACCCAGGATTCTCTTAAATGACCAGGGTTGAGAATGACCAGGGGTTAATAGTTATTAGTGTGAAAAGCCCTCATGATGGTGAGTAAATGCTGACAATTATATTTTGGTGTTTTTTGATTATTGACAACTCTGGCAGTTTCAACCAAGTAAATGTAGGGCGTGAGCTTACTTGACAGAGTGTGAGATCCGTTCTCTTCTCCATTAGCCGTGCTCTCTCCGTTCTTGGCAGCGGCAGCCGCTGTGGTGCTGGAGGCAGCGGCAATTTGCTGCTGAGCCAGCTTATCCTTATACACCTGCTGCCTCGTTTGCACCACGTCTGGCATCACTGCATCAATCAAAGACAGCGACTCGATCGGTCGTCCATCAAACAGCGTACCGTCCTGTGACCACATTACACAACAGGTACAAAAAGGTTGAGCAAATTTTTAAATATGAATATTTAATGGGGAAACTGGGAAATATCCCTATCTGTTGGCGGTAACAGCGCTGACCTCATTGATGCTGACTTCAGCCTCCACATACTGCAGGCCTTTCTGGATGATGGAGATGAGGGCAGCAGGGGGCACCAAAGCTCCGTTGATGTTGGACTGGCTGATGTGGCTCTCTATGCCAAAGGTGAACGCTGAGTGGGAGAAGCCTGCAGGGGAAAGAAAGGAAGACAGCATTTGTTACCATTTAGGAACAAGTATTTGTGAATAGTGAGGTAAAAAGTATTGGTATTCTGGTACAAAGTCAATATGGAAATTGTAAAAATGTTACACAATCAAAAACAGTACTCCTGAACAAATTTGGTCGACTGACAGGGAGCTGATTTCAAACCTGGGTTAAAAACATAAAAACATATTTTCATTAACTGAAACAAAATAAACAATAACGAAACAAAAAGTGAACTTGTTTTATTTCAGCTAGTTGCCAATGAAAAATGAAAATTCCAAAACACAACAAACTTACCAAACCTAACTAAAATTAAAGTGAACAGAAAATATTAACAAAAAATATAGTATATCAATTATGAGACTCAAATAAAAGTTTCAAACAATCACATGTGTATTTGTGCTAATTATGTGTATTTTTTTTTACACTGTACACGTTTTTCTCTGTTCGTTGTGAGGAAATCATTTGCATATGAGACTAAATTCCACACTAGACGACTAAATAATGTCTATTGTTAAACCCTAAAAATTGTTCAAAACTCTGTCTTTCTTCAGATGTTGCAACGCTTGTGATATGACATCACGCTCTGCAACATCTTTTTAAAAAATGTAATTCAACACATAAATAATAACAAATCCAACATGTAAAACCACATAATCGACTCCAATTTCCTGCAGCATTGCGGTTTTAAATTTTTGTTCTTTTAATTCAGCTCTGAGGTCATGCCGTGACACATCGATCTTCTATTGGTCACACGGTTTTACGTGATACAAATACACAGGTCAGAGTTCAACAAACTTGAACTTTGGAATGCCATGAAATGCAAAACTTCTTCGCATGAGCTTGCATTTCCACTCACCTGCCTTCACGTGTGTATGAATGGCAGTGAATGGAACAAAAAGTGTAGTTTGACCACCCCTTTAATCATTGACTAATAAATTGTTAGATTTCACTTGCCAGTGTTTGAGGTAAAAACTAAGATATATTTGCCCATGCATACACTTGAACACTGACTGAGCTTTCCAGCACACTATTCCCATTGATATCAATGAATGGACAGCGTATTTGACGAACCGTAAACTCTAGTGTGTGTAGGTGCCTGACACAACATCGCAACTGACAAAGTGTGCATAGAGTGTGGGTTAAATAACTGAAATACTTCACAATAGTTCAATATTTAAAAGGAGTTTCTTTGGTAGTAAAATAGTTTTATTTATAGTTTTTGTTTTGTCCACTGGTATTAGTTCTGACAAACAACAGCACATAAAACATCAGATTTTTTCACTACCTGAATGAAAAGTGAGAGATGTTTGCCCAGAACAGACTGTCAAGATGTTGTGCGAGTGTTTTGGATAACTGCAAGGTAGTTACTATGCAGTTGGTTTTGTCCTGAGTGGTTTTTAGTATGCTGTAATGTGGTTTCTAGGGTGTTCTGTGTGGGTTGTTAGGAGGTCGAACCACTAATTGCTAATAACATGGCACAGGGCACAAAACCTTATACAAATGAAGAGGCTAGTCTGCAGATGATGAACAGATACACACCTGACTCCTGCAGGTATCTGTACACCAGGAAATTGACCTCATCACTGCTTATGCTCATTTTGGATCCTGGGTGAACCAAGAGGTCAGGGCGAGAGTGGAGCCTGGAAAACAAAGGCACGTTGTGTTACTGTGCTTCACCAACAGCATAGAGCATTGACATTACTGGACACACTTCATATAGTACCCACCGACTTGCAAAAGTTTAGGCTCAGCTAGCTTTTTGATAAGAAATGTATATTTTCATAAATCAAGGACATGAATGTATAATGTTTTAAGATTTCTATTTCAAATAAATGTTTTTTTGTTTGTTTTTTGTTTACTTTCTGTTCAAAGAATCCTAAAACACAATACTCACAATACAAAAAAAAGGTTTCCCAAAAAAATAAGCAGCAAACCAGTAAGGATGCGGATTCAATTTTATTATGAAATATATTAACAGAAAACAGACCATTTAATCTTTTCATCAGCTGATAACTCATAAAATTCTACTAAAATAAACAACTCAAAACAATTTAAAATTTAAAAACTAAATTTAAAACAAAAAACAACGAAAACATTTATTAACTTAATTTAATTTATTAACAAGTCATGCACATTACTTATGTTTTTCTTCATAATTTTGGAATTTTAATTTCCCTGCTGCTTTAACACTTTTTTGCTAAGGTGAAAAAATATAAAATAAAGTTAAATGTTTTATATTTTATACCTTCCTGACATAAAATACAATAAAATACATACAATAATAGGTTTTAAGTATTAGTTAGTTAGGTAGGTAGGTAGGTAGATAGATAGAGAGGTACAGTGAAGACAGCACATTAGTTTAGAACTCTTCTCATTTTTATTTTTTAAAAGTAGAGAGTGTGTTTATTTGTGCAATGATAACCTACCAGCAATGTTAAGATGATTTAAATATATTAGAATGAGTACATTACAATATAAATGTATTAAAACAAGTACATTATTATTTATGGGCTTCAAAACAAGATGCAAACAATCAGAGTATTGTACCTGGTGAGGAGTGCACAATGTAAGCATGAAACATATGCCATTACCTATATTGTACTGTGGTAGTTATGGCCCTTTATAATGCAGAGACCAACTGCCTGCTCTGCCAATAGTTAGCAACAGCCCTATAGTATGCAGTGTTTAATAAACAGCTGTTTTACTAAATTCTTCTGAGGTGAAATTCAGTGCAGTCCCGTATCGTGATGCAAAAATCTGCCACTGCATGCAATATGAAACAGGGTACACACGGAGTATGTGCTGTTAGTTGAAACGAAGAAGCTAGTGTGCAGATAACTATCAGATACACACCTGACTCCTGCAGGTATCTGTAGACAAGGAAATTGACCTCATCACTGCTTATGCTCATTTTGGATCCTGGGTGAACCAAGAGGTCAGGGCGAGAGTGGAGCCTGGAAAACAAAGGCACGTTGTGTTACTGTGCTTCACCAACAGCAGAGGGCTTTGGACACTACTGGACATTTACACCAACTTGCTTTTCAAAGAAATTTATATTTTTATTTAACAAAGGTACATTAAATTGATCAAAAAGGAAATAAATGTTAAAATAAAAACAATTCTATTTCAAACAAATGCTGTTTTTTTTTACTTTCTATTAATCAAAGAACCCTAAAAAAATATTAAGCAGCAAAACAGTAATGATGCTGGTTTCCCATCACAGGATTAAATTTCATTATGAAATATATTAACACAGAAAACAGTTAACTTAAATTGTATAATATTTCCAACTTTTCACTAGTAGTGTTAACTACTGATAGCCGATACAATTATATTCTAAAACACCAGTTCTATTTTTACTGTCACTTATTAACAAGACATGCACATTACTTACGTTTTGTTTTTCTTTCTTGTGATTTTAATTTTGCCCGATGCTTTTTAACACTTTTTTTTTTCATTTTGATAAGGTGAAAAACTATACAATAAAGTTAAAATTGTATATTTTAAAACGTTGCGACATAAAATACATACAATTACATTAAATATTTAATTAATAAACAAACAAACAAAAACAGTAGTAACTAGTAAATCTGACTACCGTGTACGATTTTTTAAATCATCTAATCACCTTGGCTGGTAAGCTTAAAGGGGTCATATGATGTAATTTAAATTTTTCCTTTCTCTTTGAAGTGTTACAAGCTCTTGGTGCATAAAGAAGATCTGTAAAGTTGCAAAGACTAAAGTCTCAAATCTAAAGAGATATTCTTTATAAAAGTTAAGAGTCAACCACACTTACCTAAAACGGCTCGTTCTAACACCCCCCCCCACATGTCTATGTCACAATGTAGGAAGATTTGCATAATGCCACCCAAATGCTCATGCAAAGAAAGAAGGCGTAACTTTTATTCTCGCTGTAGTAATTGTTGTTGCCTCCGCCGCCATGTCGTGAAGGCGCTGTGTTTCGTTGTGAAAGCGAAACTACTTTGTTTGGTCTTCCAAAAGAGGACGATATCCGCTTCGTCATGCCTGGAGCTGATCCGTGCTGGTCGCTGAGGAAATACATCAACTTCGTGCTGTGGATCACCGGATCGGCTTTCACTGTGGACGAAGCGGAGTCCAGCCCGGGGTCGTCACATGTTTTGCCACAAGCCCACCGGACACTCCTTCGTCAAATCCGCCGGCCGCCCCGTTCTCAAGCCTGCCGGCTGTTCCTCACGCAAGGCCGCCGTGTGTGATGCTGTGTTTTTCGTTGTGAAAGCGAAACTACTTTGTTTGGCCTTCCAAAAGAGGACACGACTAGAAATCAGTGGTTAAGTTGTATTTACTTCCAGAACAGTACAACCCAAATATTCAGATGTGTGCAGCGCATTTTGCGGAGAATGTAGCCTACAATGCCAGTGTCTGTTTCTATAAAGTGGGGCAGTTCCAAATTTGCAAGGACAGTCTGGCGCTTCTGACTCACAGCCTGTAAGTAAGTTTTTTATATTTAAAGAATTTGCCACTGACGATTCAAACGCGAGTTTTGAGCAGTGTAGAGTAGCACGCATTACACAGCATAATGTTCTTTTTAGCAACGTCATATGACCCCTTTAAAAGTTCATTTTGGACCATGCAAAAGATGTAGTAAACCTGCTCTCAGTACACCTTAACAATGCAAACTTTTTAACTTAAACAGAGAACGGAACATGACCTCCTCGACCGAACTTTCTCATAGAAGCCTATTTGAACCCTGGGGAGATTTTCCACCCATTTGCTCACTTTAATTGAAAGAATTGTTAGGAAGTTACACAGTAGGGACGGATATTGTGATGGGAAGAATTGCATGTGTTAAACAAGAGGAAATGCTTTAGATGCACTCATACAGCCTCTTTCAGTCTAATAAGCTTTTACGTAAAACAGCAACCTATCATATGCCAAGACTCCCTGTAGTTTATGACGTGTCAACAGCCCTGAAAGTGCAACGGTTTGTCTATTCACAATCAAATAAAATGGGCTTATACAACATAATAAAAAGACTCCTAAGCAGTGTAAGATCTGTTAGGCTAAATGTCTTTACATTCAAATCTTTTATCCAAAACTCATACTAATCACATACCAGGACATTTGTTTTCTAAAGAAAAAATATAATTCTGACAGCAAAGCATCTCTTAAAATCCAACTGTAAATCAAACTTGAGATGTTTTACTTTTTTTTATTTTACCTATTCATCTCAACAGCATTTACTCAGCTGGCACAAGTCCCACACAAGTACACAAATGTAAGACCTTTTCAAGCTATTTCTTATGTAATGAAGGATATTTAAGACTTCTTGTGGCTTAACAAGATGAAATTTAACAATTTTATGATTTTTTTTAAGGATCTCTGTTAATATAGTGTGACACTTGCTTACCATGATACCAAGTGTTGATTAGATGCTCATACTCTTGCCATCCATGGGAGCAAAGTCAAATCAGCCTGTCAATAAAATCACCATTGTATTAGATACAATAAGATTTAGTCAGTCTTTTATTTTTTGTCTTTAATCAAGAAGAGGCAACAGTTTAACAGAATACAAGTGAAAATGTTTGTTGACTCAGCAAGTACATTATTTCAGCTAACAATCGTCTCATTTAACGTTCATTCATCATTTAGCCTAGCTGTAAACAAATGGTAATTCACACACACATATACATACATATATTTACAAAAAAAGACTTTCTAGACTTTAAAGGTTTAGTAATAACAACTACAACATTCCTGGATATTTCCAGGAAGCCATTCACTGTGCTTCTTTTCAAAATAAACTAATGTAGCTCTTCTATTCCCCCATTTCAAGCAGAAGCAGAGAGTACTCATCATCACAAAATGTAATAATAATCATATAATTACATAAAGATTACATAAGGTTTAAGTTCACACAGACAGAGGTGTGGTCCCTATAATATACCAGAAACAAGGATTCTGGCAGGTTGTGACCTATTCCGCTTTAGCTGTACTGCAACTCTGGATCTGATCACACAGAAATCAAACTGCTGAACCGGCAGCCAGTGCTGAGATAGTGAGTGGGATCAACCTAAAACAACTCTATGAAACTACTAGAACGATACTTGCTAAGCACTACTAGTGGTGACCGTGACCGATATGGGCTTTATGGCTGACCAATGCTGGATATATAAAAAAAATAAGATGTGCATAATTAGGGCTGGGTATCGAGTTCGATACTTTTTAGGCACCGACCGAATTGCCTCGATACCATCGAGTATCGAAAAACATCTTGTCGTTCAGTACTAGGGATGAGCGATATCTTATCGTTTGCGATACACCGGTAAAAATTCTACATCCGATAAGAATTCATCTTCCCATGTTAATAACCATTAAGTCTAGTTGTTGTTGACATATTTCTGTGTGCGACTGTGTGTCAACGTCTGTGGGCCAATAAGCCTGCAGCGCTAAGTGTGCTCGACTAGAAGCAGTGCGGCGCAGATCGATATGTGTTTGACATCAGCGAGAGTGATTCGAAAGTGTACGGAGTAGTCTGCTCTCTATAGCTCTAAAGAGATATTCTTGATCAAAGTTAAGACTTTGCCACGCCCCCCTAAAACGGCTCGTTCTTTTAAATAAATGTAATTGCACAAACTATGTGGGCTACGATTTCAATTTGTTTATTGTGAAATAACTCAAACATATGTTTTTTTTTTCTGTCCTCTGATAAGCATTGTTCGGGGCTGCTGTTCCCAAAAGCTTTAATGCTTTCTTATGATACTTTTGGGCAACGCAGCCCTGTTTGAACGCACTGTCAGCAGTGAGTGAAACGCTCTCTGTGATGCATTGGTTCTGTCTTGCAACATTTGCGTGTTTTCAGATGAGCAGGAAAATAATTCTATCCTACACAATTACTTGCGAACAAAGGTTATTCGTCCAATTCAATGCATTTGTACGCATTATTATTATTATTTTAAATAAATAAAATCACTGGTAAATAAAACACACCTTAGTATCGATATATATCGATACTTAGGATCGATTATTTTTATTTATATTATACTTAGGATCGATACGCCCATCCCTAATCGTGACCGGAAACAAGACTCCCCAAACAAATGCAAAATGAGCGATTCTAGTTCCAACACGTGGCTGCTTCCATAGCAACGCAGCTAACTAGTAGTCGGTTAAATAATAAAAGCTAGTTGTTGTCAACGTCCATCTCGCGTGCACGGGGCGCGGGAAACCAGAGCGCCCATCCCCCACCGCGCTGCAGCTTCACTCTGCAAAATCACAACTTTTAATGACTTATATGACCACTTCAGCAATCTAAAAATACAAACATAACGGTCAGCTCACGCATAACTGGGTTACGGGAAGTGTGGGGGTGGGGGCTCGTCTTACTCGTGCCGATGCTTCCACTCTCGTCAACCGCTAGCTTCTGGAGCTAAAGTACTGAACAAATGTGCCACAGCGCCGAGGCAAATCCGACAGAAGGGTATCCCTCGACCTTTCCACTCCACAATGATACCTCTGTCCTCCAATAATATCTATTTTTGTCTGTTGACTGTAGGAAATACAAAATTTTAAAAAAGAAACATTTAGTAGCTTAAGGCCTGCCAAGCGCTTCGGAGGAAGCCGACGGCCTCAGACTAGCACAAGGGCGGAGACTTTCCAGGCGAAAATGACTCGCAGTGTTGCCAGCTGCTTTCATTTGGAAGTAGCTAAAACTGGTAGCTAAAATGACATCACAATGGCAAATTCACTGATCTATATAAAGATGAACGTAGATCAGTGGGCAAGATGAGAATTTAGATAAGGTTTGTCCAAGAAGTTGCTATATTTGTTCATAAACTTTTGAAAAAAGTCTCAAAAGGGGCTTAAATCTAGCTACAAAGTAGCTAAATTGGCAACACTGAAAAGACAAAGTGGTGTTAAAGTTCATAAAATCAGATTGCATGATTTGAGGGTCGAATGCCCAACCCCCACCACTGAAACTGAAATTATTTTTTGCCTGGCTGGTCACTGCCTGCTATTCCGCCACACCCACAATCTCCTCTGCTCAGTCGCTCAATAACAGACTGACACCATTGGTCTGCGTATTACACTGCTATTTTCAATATACCATAAGTTTTCTAAAAGCATCGCAGTAGTCCCGTGACTTACAATCAGTCCCTCGAGTATTAGAACTGTCTGTATCAGCGTATCATATTCATAACGTGTCATGTTTATGTTCGTGACACTGAAGAAAAGCATCTTAAATCCTGAATGTCACAGTGCAAAGCAATGACTGGTTTATTGTATTTTATAAAGATTATAATTTGTACTGTGCAGTGTGATTGATTACTGAATGGACATACTATCTGTTCTCCCTCTCTCTGTAATATTACAGACCCAAAAGAAAAGGTCAATCCAATTACTGGTTCATTTGTTTTAAAGGAATAGTTTACCTAGAGCTGAAAATGTACTCACCCCCAGGCCATCCAAGATGTAGACGAGTTTGTTTCTTTATCAAAACAGATTTGGAGAAATTTAGCATCACTTGCACACCAATGGGTCCTCTGCAGTGAATGGGTGCCGTCAGCATGAGAGTCCAAACAGCTGATAAAAACATCACAATAATCCACAAGACTACAGTCCATTAATTAACGTCTTGTGGAGTTAAAAGCGTTGTGTTTGTAAACTAATCCATTAGTAAGAAGTGATTAAGTTCAAACTGCTGATTCCAGCTAAAATACCTTCCATAAATCATCTATACATAATATTGCTTTCTCCACTGAAAAAGTCATCTTGTCTGAACCAGGAGAGAAATATGCACAGATCAAGCACTATTGAAAACAGTCCAAAATAGTCAGATATGTCAGTGGGTTTTGATGTGAGAAGGCAACTGGGGATTGACTTTTTCATTGGATAAAGCGTTGTTATGGATTATGGATTTTGGATAGAAGCAACAATTTAAAGTTAATACATTTTAATGATGGATTTATTTATAAGAAACATACAGCTTGCCGGACTGGAGTTGTGTGGACTACTTGTGAATTATTGTGATGTTTTTATCAGCAGTTTGGACTCCCATTCTGACGGCACTCATTTACAGAGGATCCATTGGTGAGCAAGTTATATAATGCTAAATTTCTCCAAATCTGTTCCCATGAAAAAACAAACCCATCATACACCTTGATTGTCCTGAGAGTGAGTAAAGTTTCAATAAATTCTTCTTTTTGTGTGAACTATTCCTTTAATAAGTGAGTAATTAATGTTTTGCTGCTATTATTAGTACAGCTGTGCTTTAAAAAGGACACAAAAAAAATCTGGTTTGTCCCGTTATCTCGGTTAGAGTGGCTTAATGTGCAAATAATTCTGTCCTTGATGATTGTCTCTTACATGAATATATGCCCTCAGCAATTGTGTAAGATGTGTGTAGAATTTTTCCATGCTTCAATACCAGCTTTATACAAGATTGGATACAAACAGACCAATAGTAGTGTTTCATGTATCCTTGGCAACAGCACTGGCGCTGGCTGTAAATGAGGCAATCAAATTAATACTGGAACATAAAGTGGGACTCGGTAACACTCGGAGCCAGGCACGATTATCCATTTTACACCAAATTTAGCATGGAGTGAAACATTACGCATTTGGAAGAGATTCTCATCCACTGGTCTCCTATCAAAACACATCCTGTCGGTTTAGACCTTTGCGATTCAGTTGTGGGACTGTTTTGGCCAACAAAGAGAGAGCAGGAGGAATGCTTTTGGCAAGCAGTGGATAATATGGCCTTTAAAATGACTTTTTATATCAATTATATTAGATAAACTCAGATAAGAAACACAATCTTTTGATGTATTGAAATCCAAGCACGTCTGTGTCAGGCCCCATTGTGCCATTATGCTGCATCGCATAAACCCCAGATTTAATGCACCACCAAGCTGTGAAACCGCCCAATCCATCTAAATGTGACTTCAGTTTTGATCATGGAAAGGTCATCGGTCTTAGCAGTGAAGTCTGATTCTGGCATCACAATAACTACTAGATGGATGGTTTACAGAGCTGTGTGTTCCCAAGATTACAGTGTTGTGAAACTTGGCATACGCGCCATTAACCTGAAATATTATGTCAAGTCAAGTCAAGTCACCTTTATTTATATAGCGCTTTTAACAATACAGATTGTGACAAAGCAACTGAACAGCATTAATTAGGAAAATAGTGTCAATAATGCAAAATGACAATAGTAAACACTAATTTTTCAGTTAAAGACAGTTCATCATTGAATTCAGTGATGTCAACATCCAGCTCAGTTTAAATAATATCTTTGCAATCATGTCAACGATAACGCTGGAAATGAAGTGTCCCCAACTAAGCAAGCCAGAGGCGACAGATTATGTCTGAGTAATGAATGGTAGGAGGAGATGACACACTTAAATAGCAGTACATTCATAACTCGGAGCACTCCAGAAATACACCATAGATACAGATTGCATAACCAGCATGTATCTATAAATAAAAACAAAAATCTGTAATTGCTGCAACTGGGAGGCCTTTAGTGCAACAACAACAACAAATTATGCTTGGATTTTCTTTATTCCAGCAGGTCAGTTTGGACTCAAAACAACATTTCAGCACATTGGAGCCAGTTTGGTCAGTTCTTCGATTAATGTCTTGACCTAAGAATTAAGTTTAGATTTAAAACAGAAATGGTGATTTTAGGTATGGCGAGTTGGGGGAAAAGGGAAAAACTCTACCCAAACTTACAACAAGCACATACACATACACACTGTTTAGCCGTTGAAATCACATGCATGAACTCCAACAGAGACACCAAGTGGCATTATGCCTATGTAGTTCCAAACCTGCATGAGTTTCTTTTTTTCTGTTGAACACAAAAGAAGATATTCTAAAGAATGTTGGAGTTATTTTAAAATGTAACAATGTTTCATAATGTTACCATTTTACAGTATTGTTGGTCAAATAATTGCAGCCTGGGTGAGCATTAGAGACCTCTTTCAAAAACAAAAAATGTAATGTATAAAATGTACTGCACCAAGTGATATTTAACTGACTGAATAACAATAATGTCAAATTTGAAGTCACATGATAACGTTTTTTGCAACTGACCGAATTTGAAAAGAACTGTAGTTTTGTGTATTTTTGCGACTTTAGAGCCCCCCTACAGTTAAATGTGTGGAATTCACTGAATTCGCTGTCCTAAATATACTTCAGATATTATATATGATGCAACAGACAAATAAGTTCAAGTTTTTGTGGGTGCCAGCGCATACCAGAGTGTCAGGGAATGAATTAGCAGACAAATGATCAAAACAAGTTATGGCAAGAGAAAATATAGATATGCAAATTATGTATAGTAAAGCAGAACTAAAATCAATAATAAAAAAGGGGATACATAATAACTGGCAATGTGATTGGAATAATATTACAGCCATTGGTAGGAAGAGGAAGAAATTCAAGCGGGAGAAGAAAGGAAGACTGTATTATTTCTAGATTAAGGCTAGGTCATACTGGATTTAACTCATCAATGCATTTAATGGGTAAACATCCTACAGGATTGTGTGATTGGGTGAACAACTGTTTCTTGAAGTGCCCCTCTTCGTCATCATCACGTGCCCACACGGAGGCGCCGTCATCATGCAAAGAATCTGCACAAAGGATCATGGGAGCCCGAAGTGCCCATCAGTTGTACCCTTCGAAACCCTTAATTCTGAAGGGCCCTTTGAAGTAGCCCGTTTTGAGCACTTTGGTTTGGAACGACTCTTCAATATGGCGGCCATGATTGTTTTCACTCCGAAGTAGGGATGGGCGATACCTCTTATTTTATTTTCGATCCGATACCGATATTTTCAAGCCCAATATCGTCAATATCGATACCGATACCGATACTTTTAAACTAAACTCATCTTTTAAATTCTTAAAAGACTATATAATCAGTAATTATACTCACTTAATATTAGATTTTGGGGGTTAGTAAGATTTTGTAATATTTTTTAAGTCTCATGCTCACCAAGGATGCACTTATTTGAAAAACAGAAACAAAAAACAGTAAAAACAGCAATATTGAGAAATATAACAACTAAAAATAACTATTTTCTATTTTAATATATTTTTAAAATGTAATTTAAAATGTATCTGTGATCAAAGCTGAATTTGCAGCATCATTACTAATTACATAATTCTAATATTTGCTGCTCAAGAAACATTTATTATTATTGCTGCTTCAAATTTGTGTGGAAACCGTGATGCATTTTTCTGAATTAATTTTATATATAGTAACAATGTTATGTAATGTAATGTAATAATGTGGCAATGGTTTCTTAAGATCTACTTATGCTTCTAATGCTTTTGGGAAACACAGCCCTATTTGAACAAGCACTGTGAGCCATGCGTCAGCAGCATGTGTTCCGATGAGCAGGAGAAATGGAAACACAATTATTCGCTAATATAGTCTATTTTTCCATTTAGAGGCTTATTTTATGCATCAAATTTCTTGATAAGTAAATAAAATGAATGGTTAAAAAAATGCACTTTAGAATTGATATTTTTATGTGAGAATCGATCCTTTCGATACAACATCAGTATCGAAAGTATCGGTACTTAAGGATCGATCCGCCCATCCCTACTCCAAAGTGCCCTTCGGAGGGCGATACATCCT